ATTATGGGTATAGGGACATGGCCAGAAGATGAATTCCCTACATGTCTCCATGATGCTTTTTCTTGTAGTCCCTTGAGCTCCCCCAATACTTTTCATCAAACCCAGCTTGCACATACTTGACAGTGCCTCGTTCCTTAGACTACTAACTTTAGGTCATGTGCTGTTATTTCCTAACATCCAGAGCTATTTCATTTGATAAAAAATTTCCAGAATTCCCATAGGCAAACTGCATTATGTGACCATGGACTTCTGCATTTCCTTGAAACACTACTACTACAGGCCACCCTAATTAAATCACTGGTTCTCAGTTAATATTAAGTCTATGTTATGTTAAATTTATGCTACGTCCATGTTATATTAAGTCTATTTTTTGTTAAGTCTAAGTTAAGCAGTCTTCTATAAGGTATCCATCACATCTTCAGGAACCCTTACCTGAACTCTGGATTGATTCAGCTGCTGCCATAATGTGGCTGTGTTTACCTCTGTTGCAGCATTTTCGTATCACAACAGGGGACTGTGATCACACTGCCCTGTGATTTCCTAAATTGTATGGACAAGCTCTTGTTTATCTGTGTATTACTAAGACTTAGTACTGTGTTAGGTACAAAGTAGACGCTCCATACATATTGATGAGCAATTGTTGAAGGTTTAGTAGAATGGGTTAGGGTGAAAGTTATTTCCAGGCTTGTGAATAATTCTATTCCAGAAACCCTTTTACTTGCCAGTAATTGTTTCGTCATGAAATATTGAGTATGGCTTCTGTTGTCAATCAGAGAGAAGACATATATCCATCTAGACCTGTCACTACAGGAAGATTGATTGGTTTAACTCTCAAAAGGTAATTTCGTTTACCTTGTTTTGGGGATGGGCAAGTGAGACTGAATCCTCCATGTTTCATCTTGTAAGATATAAGGAATTTAGCAGCCAGTTGGATTGGCCTTAACATGGTCCATATCCTCTAAAGCACCTTCCTTAAACCCTCCTAAAAGGCTGTACTGGGCTTCATAGATAGTATAAAACTAACTGCCTGGTATGACAGATGTACCTTTGTCCAAATTCCCAGCCATATCCCTTCACTCAAGCATGCTCCAGTCTTATATATAAACTGGGAGCCCCAGAGATCATTGTTGCCAATCTCAATACTTTCGGTTTGCCAGAGAGTAGTTCTGTTCGGCTACATAATTGAGGATGTTCTGAAGATGTCTTGGAGACTCTTCAATCTTTGTGGTTTGAGCAAAAAATTGAGTTGTTCCAATTATGGAGCCTCTGGCTTCCCCCTAATTATTTTATTAGGTTCTTAATCTTCTCTAATTCTGAGCAGTGTAGAAAGCCCATCCCTGGCCATGTTTCAGAGAAAGAAGGTGAGACTTAGCTTTAATGAGAAGATGTGTATAATCCTATGTTGTAAAGAAACAAACCAGCATTTAGGAAACAGTTCTGTTGATGAAGCATGGGACCCTCCTCAGACCAGCAGACTGTGGAAATGCAGAATGGAACATGTAGCAGTTTGCCTACATATTCCGGGGAACCATTCTGGATGATAAAAGAGCTATTGTTTCCCTGAAAAGAAAACTAATTGGTGAGATCTCAAAGGTTGATTTGCTGTACAGAGTGCCTGACTCCGCAAGCTTCTGCTGTGAAGAGCACCTGAGGTCAAAGGCTAAAGCACTCTCACAAGAGTAGACAAAGTCTAATTGCAGAAACCTAGTTCAGAAGCCAGGCAGGAATTTGGCTTCCAAGCAGACTGGATCCTTGCAGATGGCAAATAACATTGTATGACCAGTTTCCATGTTCCTGCCTTGTGGTAAGAAGTGTCATCTGAAGACCTGCAAAAATGACAGGCTATGTAGAGAGTGATCCTGACACTCCAGGGATGACTTCCATAAGCTTGTCATACTTTGGCTTTTTCTGGATGAAATGAAATGAGAAGTGAGTCTTGCTATACTATAATTTTTTAAGGCAGATAACATGACTTATCCATAGAATTTTCAGCATTTTGCCTAAGCAATTAAATATTGCATAGTAATTAATAGTGTAGGCTCTAAATCAGAGTGCTTGAATGTGACCTTCAACAAGATTCTTAGCCTCTCTGCACTTTTTCTCTTACCTGTAATGTGGGTATAGTAATAACAACATCACTGTCAAAAAGTGGTGTTAAGAAATAAGATGATGTATTTAAAGCACTTTGCTGGTATATAATAAGTACTCAGATAAATAGTTCTTGTTTTATAGTTCTTACAACTCGAGACAAGCTCACTCTGCAGTTAATGGATCCCCATGATGTTTTAGGAGAATGGGAAAGAGCACTTGCTGGAAGACACAGATGAACTGAACTCCACTGTGGTAAAATAGGCTGCTTCAGATTGTTTTACAAAGCAATTGAGAAGCTGGGCCTACAAATTGGAACATACCTTCACCTGCTGTGTTTGTAGGAAAAGCAGATTAGATTAACTTGGGCTAGATTGGCTCAAGGGCTAGCAAAGACTCCCTAAAGCCTAACAAATATGTTTCTTTTTTCCCACTCAGATGTATTTCTCACTTGCTTTGCAATTAGGTGTGGTCCATCAAGTCCTCACCATTAAAAAGAGGAAAAGGTCATGTAACCAATTTCAGACTGGCTTATAAATTTGTCCCATGTTCAAGTTTTCATTCTTCCTCTACTAGCTGGATGAATAAATACTTTTTATGTGCTGAAGATAGTGGAGCCATGAAATAGTGGAGCCTGGTTTCCAGAAATACTGCTTGGGGAAGAGCGACCTAACCAGGAACCTCAGGTTGAAACATAAAATGAATGAGAAGTAAGCATTGATATGCTAGGATTTTGAGGCTTATCTGCTATATCATCTAGAGCAAATTCAAGAGGGACTTGCTTGTCCATGGGTGAAGGAAGAATATGCAATACGGCAAGATGGGAAGAACCCCAAGAGCCTCTGTCATGGAGTCCAAAACCTTCCTGGATAATGAGAACTGCTGGAGGTTGACTTGGCAATCCTTTGGCCGTCCCCTTTGTCCACTTTGGCTTCACTGGGTGAAAAATACTAAAAATGACTCAAAACCCCTTTGGTTTTCTGTACCTCTACAGGGCTTGCAATAAAGTCTAATAAAAGCAGAAAGTGTGAGTAGGAAGCATCTGAAGTGGGAAATGGCGTTAGGCTGGCCCATAAAAGATGAGTGCTATGGGTAGTAAAATGAGCTAAAAAGGAAAACATGACGAATGTTTGCTCGGCTTTAAGCACCAAGGTCCCCTTTCACCATCCCACGTGGCTGGAGGGAGCAAGGGGCTCTGTGCAGAGCCTGACTCAGGGAGTATGGCAGCTGAGCTATCCCTGGGGCCCTGGCCAGGGAGTGTGCAGAGGTGTTGGGGGGGGTATACCTTGACTCTCCCATCACCTCCCTCCCCTATTGACCCTTCCTAGGTTGAGGAAGGATCAACTAAGACATAAGAGGAAATCCTGAATTTACCAAGTTGCAGGACCAAGACTCCTCACAAAGGAAAAAGAAATCCAAATTCATGGTGCCAGGAACAGTGAGGAGAACAGGATGAGATTTGACTTAGAACAGTGAACATTTCCCTCAGTCCACGGCCAGAGCTTATTGACCCATTAGAGACATGTGTCTCTACTGCTGCCCTCACATTAGAAAACTTCCTTTCTCTTCAAATTCTTCAGAGTACAGTTCAAGTTTAGCCTTCTCCATGAACCCATCTCTTTTTATTTTAGTTCCTATAAATATTACTTTTAGAAAAATATAGTAGTAAAGTGACCTAGGTTAGAGTCCTATCTTTGTTACTTGCAAGCTCTGTGATTTTTATACACATTACTAACTTCTATGATCTTTAGTTTCCCCATCTAAAAATAGGGTGGTTGTAAGGATTACAGGATATTGCCCTGCATAATGAGTAACTTGTAATAAACACTCATTAAAAATTAGTTTCTTCCTGAAATTCTATAGCATATATGGACTTTACCACTAATTTAATACTTTTTTTGCATGTATCTTGACTTCCTGGCCATGCTAAAATGTCTTTCCAGGTAGAAATTTTCTATCTGTTCATATTACACACAACAGTTCTGAAAATGTGTTAGAATATCAAGACATATTTAATGTTTTCTTATTGTTATTTATTATTAACTTTATCATTAAATGGTTGTTTGATCATTGGTTTTAATCTTTTGCCACACTCACACTGTAAGGATTCTATTAAGAAAGTCATGAAAATAGGACTTTAGTGAAGCCATGTAGAAGACAGATTCAGATCTGAGAAGTCTCTAAGTGGCCCAGTCCCAGAAGGCTTTGGCAGAAAATATTAATGCTACAAAGCCATTGTAAAGGCAAAAGTGCCTGGCCTCAGGTGAGGCAGAACTAGCAGAGTACACCTTCTGCACTCAGCATAAGTACAAGTAAGCAAATTCCAAGGCCTGCATTAGTACTAGCTCAAATGTCAGCTGCTTAGAGCAGCATTCCCATCATTCCCTATCATCCTATTATATTTAATTTCCTTAAACTAATTGTTGCAATATGAAATTATACTATTCATTTATTGGACTCAAAATCAGTCTTCCACCAGGCCATGAGTTCCTTAAAAGCAGGAACATGTCTGATTGTACACTGCTTGCAATCAATACTCATTGATTGCATATGACAGGGTAAGAATTAAGTTTGTGTTTATTGAATTAAACCAGATGAATGAATGGAGCTGGATATGGGTGTGGAGACCATAGATCTCAATTATTAATGATCATGGAAAAGAAGGCTTTGTGAAAACGTATCTTAGTGGCTGGGCTTCCCCATGAGGACAATTGCCCTGTAGGTTATTGAGTACAAATCAGTATAATAGAGCTTCTCTGAAATCCTCAAAATACTAAGCAGTGAATCAAGCCCTTGTCATCAATTCATCTCTGCTCTTGGATTTCAACCCTCAACAATTCTACTAACGAGAAAATATTTTATAGAACATATTAATCCATAGTCTATAAGAAATTTCTAAGGGGTTGGGGTTTTAGCTCAGTGGTACAGCACTTGCCTACCATGAGTGAGAACCTGGGTTTTATCCCTGCACTGCAAAAGAGAGAGAGAGACAGAGAAGTTTATGAATGTTTCCTGCTTTGTTACATTGTTCACTTTTAACTGAAATTCTATCATTTTTCCTCGAAAACTTATTGTCTTTTAAAATGGTTATTTCATTATTAAACTCACCAATTTCTTATATCTACAAAACTCCAAGCAACCTTCAATGCTCAATTCAAGTTCTTTCTCCTTAATGAATGAAAAGAATCTCAGCCTCACCTCCATACCTTAAGCATTTTTTCTAAATTTTCAGAGCCTTTGATATCATTTGCTTCACATGGATGACTGCCTGAAAAGTCCCTTTCAAAAAAAATCATGGCACATATTAGTTCCCTGCATTATGTATGACCATTTGCTAGCTGTTATCTAAATTAAATTTATATTTTTCACAGAATACTACATTAAGAACAACAAAAATTGTTAATTTAGGCCCATATAATTTGGGATGATCAATAATTCAGCATGCAATCATTTTTTACTATCTTTGAAAATGGTTTGGTCAACAAACTCAAGAATACATTATGTGCTGAGCTTCTATGAAAACCCAGGAGCTGATCCAGGTATTGAGGATGCAAAGGTGAATGAGGCAGCCTTTCTCCAGGAAAAATGAACAAGGATGGAGTGTTCTAAACCACATAGGAATAATCCTAGTAAACTGCCTTTTGTATGCAATCAGTGTGATGAGTACATTGGATTTTCATTACTTCATTAAAGAGAATTGAAAGGGCATATTCTTGGCAATTCTTTATCCAGTTTGTGTTTTTAAAATTTTTTCTTACTTGCTCAAATACAGAAGGAAACAAAACTTGGATGTAACTGTTTTGGATTGTTCTGACAAATTCAAATTATAGAATTCTGTATTTAATACTCAAAATGATTAATCAAATTATTACTCTTACTGTTGAATATGAAGATTTCTGTGTCAAGTTTTGGTTGCCTAAAACCTCAATGGCACTAAACCAATGAACAATATTTGGTATACTAATAAATCAGAGAGAAATAGCCCAAAGTATAGCATGTAGTTGGTTTTGACCTACCACTATGCCAATGGGAAATACAAGGTTTCCTAATAGGAATGAGTGTCTTTTTAAGTTTTGAGACAGGTCATACTCAAACACCTGGAGGTACGAGTTGGTCATTGTCTCAGCTATTTTGGCAATCGTTTGATGGCTAATGGAATTAACTGGCATGCCATGCTTTGAAGTTATTTATACACTGAAAGCAATGATTAATTTAGGTTTCTGACCCCACCTCCAAACCCAGCTCCATTTCCAGTGAATGAGTTTGGTGGTTGGCATCCAGAGTCCCCCATGTCGTGTCCCAGTAAACTGAGTCAGTGAGCAAACAGTGTAACTGTCCACCAAAAAACATCCTTGGATAAGGATAAGAGCAGGAGCCTCACATCCTGGCTCTGCTGTTTCCCAGACACATAAGTATGGGCCAGTCACACCTTGACCATCAAGCAGTACTTCCTGCCTTTTGTCCACCCTTCATGACTGCTGTGAGGCTCAAATAGGATATGTGTGAATGTGCTTATAACTGTCATAGCCCAAACACTTTTATTAGTTTGTTATAAATTGTCACTTGGTTCATGACACCGTCTCCTCCCATGCTTCAGAGATGCATTCAGTGAGGACAGTACAGATTTTCAATTAAACATATTAAGCAAAATTCAGCCTCAGAGGCATACTTGCCCCAGCCCCTGAGGACATGTCTTCTTTTTGGATTGTCCGAAGCGCTGGCATAATGACATCATGCTACTTGCACAGACCTGAAGGTCAGCCTTGCCAGCTCCACCATTTGCTACCTGAGAGTCTCGGTCAAACATTAACCTTTTATAAGCTTGCATCCAGACTTACAAAATCATGATGACAATAATATCCATCTCTCAAAAATGTTGGAGAATGAGACAATCGTGTAAGTGACATGAATAGTACATGGCATACAGCAGTGAGGATTACTGTGAGAGGCACAGGTTTCTGCAGCCAATATGAAAGCAAACATCCCATCAAAGTCTTTAGACCTGGTTTCAAGTCTTATAGTTCTCCCTCTGATGGGTTGTATGATCCTGGATAATTCATTCAGTCTCTCCGAAGCTCAGTTACTAATCATAAAATAAGGCTGGCAAGATTTACTTTATGGGGTCTGTAGAAGGTCACATAGTAGTGTGTATGAAAGTTCCATGCTAACAAGAAGGCAAATGCACAAGGCTATTATTTAATTTTTTCTGTATGAACAAACACACGGAAAACAATTGCAAAGATTTTATTTAGCGGCTTTCTGTGCTTGGCACTTTGAAACAGTTCCGTGCATACGGGCAAATTTTTATACACCTTTTCTTCATACATATTTTACATACCCTTTTATTGCCCCTTTTTTAATATTCATAATATTGGGTACCCCACTAGGCATATAAATACATTTATCTACAACACCTCAAAACCAAAAATCTTAGTAATATCTGTATTATTTTACTTGGTATTATTTGCATTTCCACACCGTTTAAAAGTTTTAGCTTGCATCAAGCTTCACTTGCTTTCTTAGCATTAAAGGGCTTGAGGGGGAAAAGGAAAGATGAAGGAAAAAAACCCAAAACTTCAAAATGCAATGAACTGATAAAAATGGAGATCTACCGGCAGGTGGAAACATGTGAAAGACCCATCAGCAGTTCCCTGGGACACTACAGGGGCTGGCAGGCAGGCGGTAGGGTCAGGGGTCTGGATCTGGCATGCGAAGGCCAAGCCTCTATTACTGCAGCCTCTGCTCTTTGTATCACCTGGGGAATAATAAAATTCTTCCTTCTCCACACATTTGTGGTTTGCTCACACTGCCAGGTTGCATGCTGTGGAATCAGCACTTCCCAGGCAGTGCACCTCTCTCCTGGGGTACAATGGTCAGAGCTGTGGGATCAAGAGGCATTCCTTGCCGCAGCCCCTCTCACTGGTGCTCTGGACATATACAGTGTCCCAAGGAGACTTGCTCCCCAGTAACACCATTGATCCTTTCTATAACCTGTTGGGGGGTAAACAAACCCAAACAAATTTCCTTGGCGAATTTAAACACTCCTCACTGTTCGCACCTCTCTCAGTCTTGCTCTCCACGCCCTCCTGCTCTCTATTCTTTCTCTTTCTCTCTCTCTTTCAGCTGCTCTCCCTCCCTCTCTTCACAGGCACCACAGGAACATCAGTGATGGCACACTGAGTGAAGAGAACCAAAGTTAAAAAGCAATCTCTTTCAGGAAGCCAAGTCCAGTTGTAGTGCTGATGTCTTTCCACTTTCATGGACAGAGAGGGGTACCAGAACACATGGTTCATTCCAGAAATGGGGTAAGCTGCAAGAAGAAAGGCTGGCAGTTACTGTGGCCCAGTCCACTTTTGTTGTACATAGACAAGCACCCATTCTGGGCCTCCGCCAGAGTTTGCCCAGTTCTGAGTCAGTGTGCAGGATGTTTGTGTACATATGACTCTGTGTATGGTCATTGTGCACATGTATGTATGCAGGTAAGTATGTATAGGTAGGACTGCTTGTGTGTGTCTGTATTTTTTCATGGCTGCTACATGCTAGCATCTCCTTTAACATTATTTTTAAACGATTATTATTCAGTCTCTTCCAAGGCCAGTCTGACATAGACAATATGCTTTATAAAACTCAGGTTTGGGAAGGCAGGAGAGTGGCCACTAGGTTATGGATGGTTCACTGCAAATAGCCTTCAGTGGCCAAAAAAATGTCTCTTGTTCTTCTCTATATGCTTTCCTCCTCCAGAAAAGAAAAAATACACAGTTCCTGTTTTCCAAAGGTATGGGCTCCTAAACAGGAAGCTCTACCCAGGGAGACTCTGCTGTCTTGATAGGGTCTTGACTGCCACAGTCTCCATGGTGCCGGACTGCTCTTTAGACCATATGTACGGACATCTGGGAGGAGGAGCCTGGGACTGCCCCATACTGCCGGCCATCACAAGTGTTGGTCGCCTGCTGATTATTAGGCGAAGGGCTGATCATGTGCACACTGTGCTCCATCCCTGTGGGCAGGTACTGCCTCTCCCCAAAGGCCCCGTTGGAAGGAGAAGAACAGAGTAAAGTGCTTTGAGAGGCGCTCAGTTTTTCTGGGCTTGCAGCTAGCCTGGGGGAGGTGGGGAAATTGTATCCATATAGATTGTAGGGGTTGTGGAGGGAGAAGCATTGTAGGAGCTCTGCTGCATGTGGCTGCCCCCAAACATGTGTGGTGATGAGGAGCTGGAGGCTGCATTGCCTGCCTGCATGACATACTGAAACTGGGAAGTGGGGAAGGACCCCAGCTGGCCACCATAGGCTTCCATCTTGCTGTTGCTGGGCAACGAGGGAGGAGTTGGTATTCCTGAGATCAGGGATGGAGTCCTCTGAGGCATGAAGGTTTCAGAGGGCTGAGTGGCTGAAGCAGTGCCACTCTGGAGCCTGTTGTAGCCACTGTCACTCAGCCCTGGATAGCTCTGCAAGGCAGCCATGTTGCTTCTGGCACATGGTGGGTAATCAGAGAGGTTTAGATTACACAGCTGGCTCTCGCGACAGCCCACGTTGAAAGTGTTGGGGGCCAAATGAAAAGTGGGAGGAGAACAGGATGGAGATAAAAGATGAGAAGAAGCTGAAGGGGATGGTGTCCCAGTGCTGGAGGTGGTTGGGGAAGTGCCTGTGCTGCCTCCTGAAAAATAAAACATGAATACCATTTGAGTATTTGAAAATGAATCTGTCTAGGCCAAATGCAAGCCATTCAGAAAGTGCCTTCAAATGTCCAAGATGGCCTATTTGTACAGAACCATTGCTTTCTTTTAACTCAGAAGACAAAGCTACATGATTTGAGCACAAATTACAAAAGAGAGGACAAACAGGATGATAGAAAAGTGTACTGAAGCCTTTGAGGTTTTTTGCAAGAGCCTTAGTAAGCCTTATTTTTAAAAATTACAGCAAAGCTTCAGGTATTAATTTTTCCATTTCTCACCATCAGATTCAATTTCTAATAAGACCTCTAGTGAATGGTCTTATTAAAATTACTAGCTCAACTTTTCCCATTCTCAGTGGACATGAACTAAATATGTATTTTAGCCAGTGGTGGTTTCCTTCTTTGCAATCTTTAGTGTTTTAGCCTAAAATGTAGCATACAAAAAGAAGACCCTAATCCCAGGGAAAATGGGGTACTGGGGCAAGGTGCCAAGTCCATGACTGAGGCCTGAGAAGGCAGAGCAAAGGCCCAAGTGATGTTCTGTTACATGAAAGACACAGTGTGTGACTAATTATAACAGCTGGGTTAGAATAAAGCAAGGCTAACTAGAAATGAAGTAACCATGATCCAGAGGAGCCTGCTCAGTCTCAGAGCCTGGAACAAAGACTAAAATTGGAGTCCTTGAGTATAGATATTTATGAGAACAAGAGCCAAACAAACCATAAAGTGACATGAAAGTTAGGAGGCATGGGTTCTGCTCACACCTCTGTCACACTAACCACCTTATGATCCTGATACCTCTCCTGCCCTCTGTAGTCCTCAGTTTCTTCATCAAAGATGAGGAATGGAGTAAGATCTTAGGACATGTAAATGTTAGAGATGGGTGGGTGGTTAATGCACCAACACACTAAGAGCCAGCTCAAGCCAATGTTTTCAAATGTGTTCTCAGTTTAAGAAAATCAAAAATGATTTCAGAGGCCTCTTCTATCCCCAGGCCAAGAATCAGAGATACAGCACTCACTTCCCATGTTGCTGAAAGCAGGTTAACACAGTGAATGTTAAGGCTATTTAGCCCTTCAGTGAATTGCAGAATGGGTGGCTACTTTGCCTTCAATGGAACCGCCCTGATGGAATTCCCTCCTTTATGCCATATGGTAACTTTCCATGACAGTTGAGAGCTGTGATCCCTCAAAGTCATCCACAGCTCTTCTTGGGACTCTAAGCATCATAAAAGGGTAAAGGGAATTTTATGTGGCAAATAGTAGGAACAACCTTTTAATCAGTGAAGTGACTATGAAGAAAACCAGCTAGATTCCAGAGATACTGGAATTCAAAGAAACCCTTCTTCCTTGTTAGTGGGAATATAAATTAGTACAACCACTGTGAAAAGAGTGATTTTCAAAGACTAAAAATAGAACTGCTATATGATCCAGAAATACGACTCCTTGGGATATACCCAAAGGAATTTAAGTCAGGTTACAATAAAGACACTTGCACATCCATATTTATAGCAGCATTATTCACAGTACCTAAGTTATGAACACATCAAGATGCCCCATTACTGATGAATGGATTAAGAAAAGATGGTATTTATATACAATGGAATTTTATTCAGCCATAAAGAAGACTGAAAGTTTGTCATTTGCGGGTAAATGAATGGAACTGGAGAATATCATCTTAAGTGAAGTTAGCCAGATTCAGAAAGCCAAAGGCTGCATGTTTTCTTTTGTATGTGGAATATAGACTCAATACAAATATAAACAATATCATGAAAACCAGGTCACTTATACTAAGGGGAGGTCACATACAAGAGAGGGAGGGTAAAAGAAGGAAGTTAAAAAGGTAAAGATTGTTGATGTACTTCCTATACAAGAATGAATATAGAATTTTAAACATGTTAAAATCACCATAAGAAGGGGACTAAGGTAGAAAGGAGAAAAATAGAGGAGATGAACCAATTTGGGTAATAATACATCTGTACATGGAAATGGCACAATGAAACATCCCATATAGCTATCTTAAGCAAACAAAAATGCCATTTTTTTTCTCAAAAACAGAATGGGAAGGCAAAACAGTCTGGGAGGTTGGAACCAGTAGGCGGGGAGGATACAAAGAAAGGGTGTAGGAGGATGAACATGGTACAACTACTGTATACACATGTATGTAACTGGAAAAATGAGACATGTTGAAACTATTCCAGGAATGGGGGAAAGGGAGATAAAGAGAATGATGGAGGGGGTGAATTCAACTGTGATACACTGTGAAAACTCTTGAAAATGTCACAATGCACCACCAGAACAATCTTAAAAAAGAGGCAGATGCCACAAAGAAATTAAATTAAATCTTTAATTTAAAAATTAAATTAAAAGTTAATTTTAGCACAGGAAACAAAAAAAATCTCAGCCTGCATCCATAGGCATATGTAGCAGTACTAGCTATCGAAGTAAAAATTTGTCTCTAGTTAATGTTTTTTGAGATTGAAATTTCTATAATGCCCAACTAATATCATATTATCCTTGGTCAAGAGAATTTCTATACCTAGGAGGGTGAATATGGTAGAAATATTATATACGCAATGTATGAAAATGGAAAAATGAGACTTGTTGAAATTCTTCCAGGAATGGAGGATAAAGGAGAATGATGGAGGAGTTGAATTCAACTATGATATATTGTAAGAACTTTTGTAAATGTCACAATGTACCCCCGGTACAACAATAATAAAAAAAATTCTACAATGAACTTTCAAATTATAATTGGGTTTAAACTCAGTCAGCCACTATCTTTAGAGTCATTTCAGAAAATTCTCTTTCCTTCAATTATAGTTCAATTGCTATAAAAGAAATAATATTTTTATTCTACAATCTGAGATAATGCCATCACTGTAAATACTGCCAACAGCTCCTGACCACAAACGATGCAGGCTACCTCTTCTTTCTCCCCCTCAGTCCTAAAATGAAAGGCTTGAACTAATGGCCCTCAGTTTCTGTCATTAGACCTGTAGCTGTGTCTGAGGATTAAAGTATGTGAAGTGTTAATGATCAACTCTAACTTCTAAGGAATCACTTTCATATAAAGAAAGAGTTCTAGAAGTGGAAGACTCTAGAAGGAGGAGGAAGAGCATCTCATGCTTCCTGTAACTGAACAGCTAAGATGGCCTTGCCCACTGTGCCTTACAGAAAGCTCACACATTTATTTTCCTCTCTTTGAGATGTCCTGCACACTTTTATCCTTTTCCATCCTATGACATGAACTTTACTTAAAGTAAGTGCTCTGGCACAAATGGAGAAACTTGACTCCAGCTGTAAAGAGATTTGTGTTTTACGAGATAGGTACCTGGTCTCCTCTCTTTGAAAACCCTTCCTGCTTGCCCTTGTCTGGTGTTTATGCGGCCCCTGAGGAGACCACCTGTTCAGCATGCTGCAGTGTCCTGTGATAGGCATGCTCCACAGGCACTGGCCCTAGCCCTGCAGCAGGAAGTGTGAGATGGAGCAGATGACATTCTACAACTCTAAATGGTTTTCTCAGATGGCCCACGATGGAACGAATGGTACAGATTTAAGGCCTCAATTGGTTTCACTACAAAAAAATAAGAAGGGAACTATTAACAAGTTACAGGGATTTCTGCTGGGCAGATGAGAGGCACATGTTAAAAGTTTGTAGTCGGCTTGCTTTGGCTTTTAAATGACATTCACTGGAAATGAGACTTGGTGACCTGCTGAGCTTCAGGGGGTGGAAGCCTCCATATGAACTAGTGTTTGAAGGGGGGAGCAAGTCTGATAAGGGAAGGTCACATTGTTTCCATCCACTTTCATGAATATAGATAGTAACTTTTCCTCAAAGTCCACATAGAGAAGACAACGGTATTCATTTTGCAGAAAAGCAAACTGAGATACTGAAAGATCTTTATGCTCTTATGATCTAATCGCTTGCTGACTGTTAATAAGATTGGGAGTGCCAGCCAAGTGCTAAATAAGCTTAAGAGGCATCCCACCCTCTCTGTGTATTTCAGCACTTGGCTGAGCAAAGACCACTCATCACAGAAAAGCTAGGGAAGAGTGGGAGGCCAGGCCACACTGAAATAGAAGGGATCAGAGCCTCCCCTTCTTGTGTAGCACTCTCTTCCCTTCACCTTCATCTCCTGTGTACCTGCTAGATTCTGATGCTTTAAGAGTTTTTATATAAATTTATTTTGTGGGAAAACATGGATTGTAGCCCTAGACAAACCTGTTTCTAATCCCAACTATGTGACTATGAGACCTGGTAAATTAGCCTGACTGGGCTTAGGTTCCATAGTCACATAAATGGAATCACTGATGTCTACCCTCAAGAGATGTTTGAGCAATAAATGAGATAATATGTATCAAAATGTACTCATAACAGTTCTTGGCATGTAGACATTAAATAATGTCTTTGATAGGATGAAAAAATCCTGAGGTATTTGGGTTGTAAAGGGGATGGCTCTCAGGTATTGACCTCTGGTCATGGATGAGTGTCTTGGCCTCTGTGCCCACTGATGAGAGGTGCATGTTCTGTTGTTACAGGCCAACAGAGGCTCCATGCTATGAATGATGGAGCACTGGAACAAGTGACATCCATGGCCTACCTGAGCCATTTTCCAAAAGGCTGTATGTGCTCTATATTCTCTCTGAATCATCTGTACTTCCTTCCTGTCCCCAGCCCAGAATGAAAATGGCCAGTCCCATGGCTTCATCTCTTCTCAGATCAAGCAAAGCAGAATTGACAGAACACATATAAGTAGACTGGTGTCTTTCCCACTGTCCTCAGAGATCTTAATCTACTTCCAAGAGGTGATCAAAATATAATGCAATAAATAGTTTAATACTCTCGGGTGTTTCATGATCATTCTCCCCCACCCAAACTCCTACATTTTATTTTACTCCCCTCTCCAACGAGAGGAGGTACACATTAAAATTCATATCCAAGGTAACTTGCTCCAATATTCAAGGCTGACAGCCAAAACA